TAAACCATGCTGGGTTCTGGAAGAGCTAAAAAATTATCCCCAGCTTCTGAATTTTTCTAATTTCTTCTGGTCCACAAAAAGGCCTGGTTCAGCTTCTTTTCTCTGTCTGAAGGGCATCAAGCAGCTCTTGGTGCAGGCCAAGGATCACTGCTTCCTGGCTCATCATAACTTACACTGGATTAATGTTGAAACTCTGTTTTCTCTTTCACAAGATACAGCTTGTCATCAACACAGAAATTCTTGTCTCTCATCCTTCTTCCTAAAATATTCTCTACTTCAGTAGACCAGCAGCCCTTTCATGATTGCTCAATGTAGACTTAAACAGGGGAAAAATCAGCACTGTGTCTCAAAATTGGTGTAAAATTACAGCCTTTGAGGGTATAATGCCTGATCAATTTTTAAGAAAACACAATGATGACAGAATGTGGACACAAGTCACATTTCTCCCGTTACCATGGAATTTTTAGCAGTTTAACAAGCAGGTTTAGTCCAGCACACAGCTGTTATCAGGTAAAGGTGTGTCACTACAATCTATGCCCTATGCTGAACCTGACATAGCAGAACTACCAGAAGGGTGGAAGGTTTCCCTTTCTGTTACCCAGCACAACACTGACAGATGAAGCATCACCTCATCTTCTTTACTTGCTGCCAGTGACTACAACTGATGACAAAGTAAATGTCCTCAAGATTTTGTAAAGGACAAGAAATGCCTGGCAAGAGCACCTGGTGTGTTGGACATGTCTGACCAGCCACAGGAAAGAGGGGCACAGCTTCCTGCATCCAGCCAGAAACAAGGGAGACACAGAGTTACCTCTACTGGAAAGTGCCTTTTTTAGGGGAGGGTCAATGACATTGTGAATCCCAGGCAAAATTAGATTCTGCAGAACCTTATCTTTGAGTGATATTTTAAGGTTAAAAAGCAAACTAGAAGGATGTATTTTAGAAAGCATGGGATGATAAAGGGATGTCTAGAAGCGTTTTGCACTGAGGAAGGGTGCAAAGTCCAAGTCCACTTGTCTTGGACTAAGATTTAAATACCCATTAAAAGTACTGCAGTGTCTGTCACAGCACCCTCTTCTTTCAATGGTTGCTCTGACATTTCTGGGCACTTGCTTTTCTTGTACCTCCAGACTGTAAAGGAGAAATTACCTATTCCCAAACCATTTAGTCTAGAGCTTTGTTGAAGAATTTTAACTCCTCAGATTCAAAAAAAAAAAATAAATCTTTTCTCTGGCTAACATGGCACTTTCTAGGTCACTTTTCAAAATTGCATCCTCAAGCACAGCAGTTTGCTAACGTGGAAATACAAATACCCTCCCCATCTCACAGAAATTTTCCTCAAACCAGCACCACCCCATCTTTCAAAGTAAGATGGTGAGTCCATTGGATTCGTGTTGTACAGTGCTTGCAGAGAGTTCTTTATTTCCATTAACGCTGACAAAAGAAACAAAAGTTCTGCATCAACATGTGTTGCTTGTTGTTGTATGTCAAACGCAAGCACTGGATCCTGCTAGCTGTGCTTAACGTGTATGCAGCACCATAAAGATTAAACAGCATAATGTTATAAATCCTATTACAGTATATAATCTCTAAATTACATGCAAGTGGATAAAAAATACACAGCTTGCTAATGAACTTTACATTTTCATAACACCATTTACGCTGCACAGAAGAATTCCACTAGTTGGGATAGAAAGTTTATGAAAATCCAATTCCTGTAGCTATTACACACATTATATGCTCTTTGTCCTGTGAATCCATTCCCCTGGAAACACTGGCCTCAGATAATGTGAGTTCTCGTCCACCTCCTTTTTACTGTCTTGGGCTCTGAGATGCACTTGGCACGGCAGCAAGGCATTTAGAGGACGTGGCTGCTCTGATGGGCACTGAAGGAAGCCCCAGAGCCCCCCTGTGCTCCCTCCCCATCACGAGAGTGGGATCCTGGCCACACCAGGCACCCCAGGATGGAAAAGGGCAGCCAAGTGTCCAGCAGCACTGCCTGCCTGGCCCCACCCCGGCAGCCTCCCCAAGGGACAGTGGTCTGCCACGGGGAACCAGCCCATGTGAGGGCTGAGCACGGCACTGACGTGTGAAACAGGAAAAAAACCTGACTTTGTCATGGTCACTCAACGTGGGGGAAGCTGAAGTTTCAGAAATAGCTTTTTTTTGCCATGGATGAATGAGTTTTCTCGATGTCCTGTAAATAACATGGAAACTAAGGAAAATCCGAGGAGCCGTAAATCTCCACTGGTGTCTCCTGGACAAGTTTTTAAGGTAGCAGGTTGCAAAGCTGCAGCTTTCTGACCAGCAGCAGAAAAAGTGTGGTTTTGTCTGAAGAACCATGTTTAACAAACCCCATCAATTTTTCGGAATAATTTCATGCTAACTGCACAAACAAATCTTAAGCAGTAAAAATCAGCAACTCTGAATATAGTATATTTGTAGGGGATCTCATGCTGCTTCATTAGCAAGGGATTATAAAATCCTAGTAAAGTTACTTTCACTAGTAAAATTATTAAAAAAAAAGTAAATACAATCACTTTCAAACAGATGCTAATACTACAATAACTTTTCTAGTTTTCAGCACCCATTAGTATGGGTAAAAACAGGAGTATATAATGCAAACTGCAAGAGGAAAACATCCCCTGGCCAGATCCAAACTGCAAAACAACAAAATGGAATACACTGCAATCTACATCTACCTGTTATTGCAGTACATCCCTTCCTACCTTGGATATTCAGGTAAGCATGTTCAGCTATAGAAAGTTAAACTACATAAACCTTTACTGTAACACTACTGATGTGGATTTAAAAAAATGGCACCACAAAAACAAATCAATGGAAAAGCAGTTGCTAAGTGGCATTTTAACAAGGTCTATCATAACTGAGTTACGCAGCCATGAGTCGTGTTCCCCTCGCCCTCTACACTGTAATTCAGGGTATAAAATCAGTGTATAAATTCCCATCACCACAGCTTTGAAGGGTTTGGAGGACCTGGCATCGTGTCTGCAAGGAGATGACTGCAATGTGAGAGTTAACAAATTTATCTCAAATTCCTTAACTCCACAGGTTTGAGGTTTAAAATTTTCTTCTGAGAGGCAAAGGAACTCAGTGTTTCTCCACAGAAAGCGCAGTTTTGCCGCTGCCACACTTTCATCCTGCTTTGTCCCCAGGTGGCTGCCTCCATCCTCCCCATATGGAGGATGTTGTGAATGCCCCTGTCAGTAACACACCAAGCTGGGCACCACCTTTGTGGGGCTGCTGCTGCCAACCCCAGCCAGCCATCATCTCCCAGCAAGCCAGGGGAGGCATTCCCAGACCACCACTGGACGTGGCTGCTGGGCCCTGGGGGTGAGGAGAAAAGCAGCCACGAGCAGCAAAGAGGCTCCCTGACCCGCTGATGGACCACCAGGACTTGGAGCAGATGGCACGGGCACAGCCCCAAGCAGGCGAGGGCTGGGGCTGTCTCTGGCTGCTGCCCCTGCCTGGCCCACCTGCCCCAGCCTCTCTGTGGCAGCATGGGCAGGTGACAGTGCCACACAGGCTTTGGGACACCATTTCAGCCTGCTCACCTGTGGATGGGCTCTGTGCAACACAACCCAGACACTGTCCTGGCACCTGGAGCCATCCTCCAGCTGGAGTCACAGATGAGACAAGAAGGGCTTGAAGCAGGTGAGGGAAGGAAATAGAGAGGGGGAAAGGAGTGCCAGCAGTAAAGCAGGTCTGGGGTTTCCCGCGAGGCTCGGGACAGAGTCAAACCAGGCATGGGGCACAGCCACACCGACGTCTCCAGCAGAACAAAAACACTGGTCATGGTCCAACAGCCAGTGCAATGGCTACAGAACTTTGTGGTGTGACTCAGAGACTGGAGGATCAACTTTTGGCCCTAACTGTTTATATGGTGAAGTTCAGCTTTTTAATCTTCAAGTTCTATTTTTAGGTTCTGTGACCAGCCAAATAACTGCATCCCACACACCTCTTGCCTACTAGCTACCCTAACAATAATTGGAGGTAGGACCATGAAAATACTTTTGCAGGTCTGCTTTGCCTTTTCTCTCTTCTATAGTTAATTATTATTGGTAGATTTATGTAGCAAATAGCTGGATTCCAGCTAGATCCATGCTCCTGCAGAGCATTTCTTCTTTGTGGCACGAAGAAGCTGAGGTTTCCAATTGAAAGGGGTGGTAAAATCATATTTTCCAATTATCATTAGAGAGAGATGGCATTTCACAGTACCAACAGACAACTCCAGCTGCTGGGTGCAGCTACAATGACAGAATCCACATCTGAAGAACAACCTGGTCATGGCCAGTTGTGGACATGATTTCTGAACCTGAGAGAATTTCAAGCTCTCAGGGGCTGGCTGTACCCAAGGGAAAGTTTTTTGGGAACTGTTCCCTCTCAAGGATTGTTTGTGTTAATAAGGTTTTACTTTCCCAAAACAAGACACAGATGTTCTGAGAGTGTTTTCTCACTTGTCCCACCAATGGAATGAGGGAGATGTTGTTCATTCTACCAACCAGGGTAACGTGGATCGGAGCACCTGATATAAAGGTCGTAAAACCCCAAAATAGAAGCTTCTTTACCTCACGAAAATGTGGTTGCTGTGTGTGATTTCTCAGAACCCTTCGCTCTATACTTGGTGTCCTCTTGAGACAGCCAGTCACAGCTGTGACATGGGTCTGGAGGGCTCTGACATGAGTGGCAGATTCAGGGATCATAGGAACATGGAATCATGGAAGGGATCGGGTGGGGAGGGACCTTAAAGTCCATCTAATCCAACCTCCCTGTCATGGGCATGGACACCCTGCACTAGATCAGCTTGTTCCATGACCCAGCCTTGAACACTTCAGGATGAAGCAGAGGCACAAACACACAAGGAATGAGATTGCCACTCAAAGACAGTTACTGTTTCCTTAGCATTGACAGAAAGTATGGGCATCTCAAAAGCCGATAACTGAACCACAGATACTAAACAGAAGCACTAGTTACGGACTACATGAGGCTGCTTTATGTTTTAATGTCACTCTGTAAAATTAAAGCATTATTATAAAAATCTAGTCCAATGACAAATTTTGAAGTTTTTTCCTTCAGTGTTCAGTACACAATGTGCAACACAGATGTACTTGTTTAACTTTGACTTTATGACTTATGCAAAGCGTCAGCTATTATTCCACTGCAAGTCTCCTTAAATAAACTTTTCTGAGACACGGTGAAAATGGAGGTGGTGGATTAGCAGGCAGGAAAAGATGAGGTCATCTAGGCCCATTGAGGCTGTGTTTTGAGACCAACAATAGCCCAACTCCAGCAAATCCTCTGAAGTACACCCCCTTGTTTTCCACGCAGCCTGGATTAGTCTTGAGCTTCTAGATCTGAAAATACAATAACCCTTTCACTCATATATAATAAAGAGAAATAGACTATACTAAAAACCCCCAAACCTAACAGGTTTATTTACATGCCCAGCACATAGAACTCCTCTGTATTTACTATACAGAGGGCAAAACAATACAAAACAAATGGCAATTCAAAAAGAAAAGGTTTTTCTCCAAACTGGACGTGATTTGCTATGTTCACAGAGGTGCCCAGTAGAAGATATTCATGTCTCAAGCTGACAAACACAGAAGCCTCTGGTGGTATGAAGGCTGTGTGTTAACAAACCTACATATTTAGGGGAATTATGTAATAGTATGAGAATAAACAAATTTACATGTGAAAAAACATACACCAAAAATTCCTGAAAACATGCCAAAGGAAAAGCTGAACACAAAGGGCTGCTCTCCTAATTCAGGATTGTGTTTGTCTGAAAGCGAGGTGTGTTTGAGGGAGATGCCGCAGTTGGGAAGGGAGAATTGCTTTTGATGCCAGCTTCAGAGACAAGAGAATCAGGCTGGTAATAGATTGATTTTTACATGTGTATATGACAATTTAAAACCACCAGGAAAGAACTGAACTTTTGATGTGAGTTTTCCAGAGTGCTCCAGCAGCAGGAAAAACAAAAACCTCCAGAGGTAACCTGTGTAGCACATCTGGCTTGTGAGGAAGGGAGGCTCCACTTAACACAGAGAATGATGTGAGGAGGGCATTGCCAGCCACACACAGACACTGACATCAGATTTTTAGTTCCTTCGCCAAGCTGTTGTCACTTTATGTTGTGGGAACAATGTAATGGGGTCTTGAAAGGCTGGGAATACCCAGGCTCAGAAAGAATAAATGGGGAAAAAAATGCATTACTGCTTAGTCTGGGACAAAAACCAGGCATGAACATGAGGAAAGTGCGGATCACCGCTGTATTTACTTTCTTCAGCAGCAGCCTGAGCTGTAAGCTGCACAGCAAAGCCACTGTGGTTTGGAATCAAGCCATGGCAAAACAGCTGAGAGCTGGGAGTTACAGGCCCTGTCCATGGATGCTGTGTCAGTGTGACCCAGGTGTTCGCAGTTCGGTTTCAGTTAAAGACAAGACAAAAATTTTATACCACTTTCCTCAGCCACCTGAATATGAATTGAATTTAAACACAGCGTGATCTCTCATAGAAATAATTATTTTTTCATAGCTTCAGGAGATAAGTGAGATGAAGGGACTTTAGGTCTTTCTATAACATCTAATTTCTGGATTAAAAAAAACAAACCTGGAGCAACCAGTAGGAATACAGGGACACAGCCGTGTGCAGAGGTGGGCACAGCTTTGCAACAGGCTGCAGAGCAGCTCCCCAGCATCAGCAGTGCTGTCCCCAAGCCATTTTCCACCCTGCTCAGCCATCACATCTACAGGGAGCTGACTGCTCCCAGCCTCAGGGTGCAGCTGGCACGTCCCAGATTGCCGGGAGCACCGCGGAGCGGGGCTGGCAGGGGATCCCTGTGGGCTCACTGAGGAGTGGGCACAGAGCAGGGGGCTGGAGGCTGCTGAGGATGGCTGGGACTGGCCGATGGCTGATGGCAGCCGGGACCAGCTGATGTTCTTTGTGGACAGGCTGAGGCTGGGCAGGGATCAGCAGCCGTGGTGCTCCCACACAGCAGGACGGTGCCACCCACTGCGGGTCCCCATCTGTTGGGGTTCACATCAGCACCTGGCCAGCGCCCCTGCAGACCCTGCGCTGCTCTGGAATGCTGCTGGGATCACCACTGCTCCAGCCAGAGGGAGCTGCTGGTGATGCTCTGTGACCTAAACAAGCCATCAGTTCTCCAGGAGCGGTGTGGGGCCGCTTGATGTCTGTCAGACACCCAGCACCCGCCACGTCCCACCAGGCACCAGCCACAGCCTCCCCTCCTCGCCACCAGAATAAACACTGGAACTGGAAAATCTGGGAAATCTGTCCTCTCTGGCAAGGCACTTATCGCTCAGGAGTGAATTCCTCCGGTGCGTGCCAAGGAGGAAAGCCTTTTTCTATGTTGCTGGCAAAACTGTCAATCATCTTGATGAGCAGCAAATAAATGAATGCCCAATGATGGGATTCTATATTATCCTTAAAAAAGAAATCCATCAAATAAACATCAACAGGTAAATGTTTATACCCGACAGCCATCAATTTCAGCTATCCATGCAAAGAGACAGGTGAGCTGGACTGGTAAACCTCGAAATTAGAGAGGTATTAATCATCTGCTCCCAGCCAATATAAACAGATGTTATTTTTAAACAGGCAAAATCATCTTTTCCTCTGAAATTTATTTGCAACAGATAATGTTCTGTTACATTTTTAATCAAGCAGATGAAGTTACATTTAAATTGAAAATCTGCTGCACTCAACTAATCAGCCAAGTAAAATTCTGAGATGATTGAAGAGCAGCACAGAGCACACCATTACAGCAGGTAAATTGTGAAATTTACCTGTCACACCACACGGCTCATTGTTCAGCCATTGCGCCTGCAAGTGAGGAGCACAGAAATAAGACAAAAAAAGGAAAGACATGTTCAACATATTCATAAATCCATCATATTTTAGGAACACGCTATAAACAGTGACAGGGGAAAAAAAAATAAGCTCCACCTCTTTCCTACAAAAATGCCAATAAAGATTTACACAGGTTACTCCCCTCTGCTTCATGCTCATCTAAGTTGCATGTCCAGATATGCTGAGATCAAGGCACAGCATGAAAACCCTCTTGTATTTCTCCCATGATAAAATAAAAGGCAAGACCACCAAAAAATCTGGAATATCTAAGGGAAGAAACGGTGTGATTTTTATGGCACTCCATTTTTCCAGCTTCTACAGACATGCTGGGCCACACCTTCTCCACCCATCGGCTCACCACCAAAGCACTGGTAACCAGTGTCCAGACTCAGGGCTTCACCGATAACACGTTTATTTGTGCAAACACTGCTGTAGTAAAAGCAACACTTGTCTAGATAGATGAAATATAGATTTCAGCTCTCACCCTTGACAGGGACACCCTAAAATATTTTCTTACATGGAAGTGTCAGAAATGAGAACCTTTAATCTTAATTTTAAAATGAGATCCATATAGTCTTGTGCTTGGCATTGATAAATTATGCATATCTACCTTTTTTTTTTTTACGTCACGATGAACACAAACTGACAGCAGACATCTGGAGAACTGTCAATTATTAAAGCTCTAAGCTTCCATGCCTTTTTCCACCCCTGTGCTGTCCTCTGCACCCAAACCCCATGTGCCATATATTAAGATTATTAAGATTAATTTCTCCTTTATTAATTTCTCCTTTTTTCCCTCTAGGAATTCAATAAACAGTGTTATTTTCATATATTATTGTATTTACTAAAAAATTATTCCTATGAGAACAAAAAGTTTTATGGTTACTTTAGCATGGTGTTATCTGTTCTGATAGCTCAGGAAAGCCAATGTTGTTTTTAAAAAATACAGTCATTTTACATTGTTATGTTTTAAACACTACAATAGTTTGGAGACTGCAGCAGCTTTTAACAATCAAAAATTCTCAAAGTCCTATGGTTCACACCTGGTCCACTATGCTCTGCTGACAATGGTGTCACCACTGCACTTCACCACACACCTGCACAGAGCCTGGCTGCTGTCACTGCCACAGCAGGGCCAGGTCTGGACTCCTCGTGCCATGAGCTCCAGGCACAGCAATCCCACTCACACACTACTTTGGGTATGGAGGGACCTCAAATCTGATCCAGTCCCACCCCAGGCACGGCAGGGCCAGCTCGCAGTGTCCCAGGAGCTGCCAGCCCCAATGTCCAGCCTGGCCTTGGGCACTGCCAGGGATCCAGGGGCAGCCCCAGCTGCTCTGGGCACCCTGTGCCAGGGCCTGCCCACCCTGCCAGGGAACAATTGCTGCCCAAGATCCCATCCCTCCTGACAGTGAGAAGCCATTTCAACTTGTACTGCCACTCCAGATCCTCACACAAAGTGCCTCTCCAGCTCTTCTGGAGCCTCTTTACATACTAATACAGTCAAAGAAGCACAGTATTTACATATCTTTCAACCGCTGCTGAAAAGATGGTAAAAATATTATTTTTCTTAAATGAGGAAAGCAGCTCTTCACCAGACAGGTGAAAAGACTCTGCTCAAATTTTGAAAAGATTCTGCTTATGTATCTTAAGGAGTTAAAGCAGTATATGTCCACCTATTAGAGAAATTATTTGAAAAAAAAAAAAGAGATGCATTACAATATGAATCCTGATTTCACTAGTATTGCTCTCTATTAAGTATAGCAAGCAGCCAGAAGAAAATAAACATTATTTGCAGCATACTACATTCTGGGCTTTATTTGCAATTCAGCAAATGTGAAGAAGGAAGCATACTGCCCCAGACTGCCTGGTGTGGAACAGCTTCTGACAGCCAAAGCTACACAGTGCCAGCGTGCCTCGCTGTCCCCCGGGTGGGACGGCTTGTTTGGAGCTCGTAGAATATTTCACTAGACCCCTCCCACAAAGCTTTAAACAAACAATAGGTTAAAATTCAGAACAGGACATCAAGGCTGGGTTAGATGGGATATTGGGAAGAAATTTTCTCCTGGCAGTGTGGTGAGGCCCTGGCACAGAGTGTCTGGAGAAGCTGTGGCTGCTCCTGGATACCTGGAAGTGCCCAAAGCCAGGCTGGACAGAGCTTGGGCCAACCTGGGGTAGCGGAAGATGTCCAGGATGGGCTTTAAGATCCCTTCTGATCTAAACCAGTCTATGATTCTGTGATTCTATGCAAAGCTAAACCCTCTCAAGGCCCATGCCAACGCACAGAGGTCATCATGCAGAACACCTCGAGGTGCCATTTCCCAGGGTATGGCAGCACCAAGACTCTGGCAGGGCTGTGGGGTTGCAGGAGGGTGAACTGTAGAGCAAATATTCCCATTTTTAAAGACTATCTCATGGCCATGCTGCTCTTGCAGTCCTCACACGGTCAGTGTGAACTGCAGTGTTCCGTGCTGCAATGACGCGCCCACTGCCAGCCTGAGACAGGTGCAGCCAGGTGAGCCCCAGCCTTGAATCGAGAGGACACAAGTCAGCAACTGAGGTCAAGTATGTGTGAGTGCTTTGCTGAGCAAAAACCTCCCTGCTGTTCTCAGTGTGCATTCACTGCACACTGCTCAAATCATTAATTAAATGCCTGGGCAATTTTAACATTGGGTTTTATTGTTCTGAGTACTTTTTTCTTTCTTTAGTGCTAGTTGTTTGTGTGGGTTTTGTTTGTTTGTCTGGTTTTTTTCTCTCGGGGTTTAAAAACCATTAACCTACGCAACAACATCACAGGTCTCCACTACGTAAAAGATACATCAATCTCCATCTGAAGCAGGCAGCTTTGAGAACCACATCCTGAAAAATATCTGAGTTTGAAACAAGGTATACTATATAGTAACATTTATTTTAAAATTCTTTAGGAGTAACTTTCAATGCTATATTGTAATACATTCTACAAAACTAATGTAACATTATTAGAGATAAGTATTCACTATCAAAAATTCCCTGCTTAACATCCAAATACTTGATTCTTCAACTTAGTAACTCTACTAAAGATTATTCTTGCACATAATTTCTCTTTTAAAGGAAACAGAAGTTAGCCAGAATTATTGCAAAAGCATTGAAATGCTATCAAGTTAAAAATTCAGATGATGTAAGCCCCCATACTCAAGAAAATGAAAAATTCCCTTAAAATGATAAGCAATTATTTTCCAGTCTTCAATACATCTGCAAGTACTGAAATACTGCATAAATTAAATTTTGCATCTACCCTAATTTCCTTGGCATTTAACATGTCTTAAAATTGGTTTCTTCCCCAAATCAGGAAATTAATATTGAAAACAACAGCACAGAGCTCAGTGAGATGTTAATGATGGAACAGAACTTTGAGTAACCTGAAACAGAAACAACTGCTGGCAAAATTTGTGAGTTAGATAAGAAAAGAACTCGCATTTTTTTTTTATTCCTTTTTGGTTTTTTACATTAAAGGAAAGTTGACACGGTGAAGACAGGAAACTGATCATAATTAAGACTTTTAGCTTCCAGAATCCGTGCTCAATTACAATAATACATCAGAAAATATTTTTCTAGGATGCTGGAGGACTGTTTTGTATCATGTGTGTCTGCTTTGGGCTCACAGTTACACCAGGGCAGAAAGAACACCACTTTAGTACTATTATTTCTATCTGTAAAGAGCAGCACAGTACTTTTACATCTCAAATCTTACAAATTTATTTGGTTTAAGGGGATCTCTGCAATATAGAAAGAAACAGGAAGAACTTCACTCAATTCACTATTTTAATAGCCCAAACTATCATTAGACCCGAAAGAAACTGTTGTATTTTTTAATTATATATTTGTCACTTACTTGTACTGACCCGCCTCAAGCAGGGCAGCCAGGATGAAAGAAAATGAACACCAAACAGAAAGAAATGAACGGCCAAAATGAAAGAAAATGGACACACCCTAACCTTAAAGGCTCCTCCGTGCACTACGTTTTCCTCTTGCAGCAATAACAGAAGCCAAGAGGAGACTTCAGACCCATGGGACAATGAACACCTGAACATGATGACTGCTCCTCAGGTGACCACCTGCACCCCATCATGAGCAAATCTGTCTCAACACACACCTGATGGGATCGTGACAACACGCTGGGTCACAGAGCAGGTGAACACTGCCAGGAGCTCATCATACTC